TTTTGGTTTTTTTTTTGTTTTGTTTTCATAAGTTAAATTTTGTTCCCTATATGTATATGTAGGGAAATGCTAATATAAACAGATCTTCCTTAAGATTCCCAGCTGCAGCTAGAAGAATGGACACACTCAATGATTTACTTGCGGCAAGTGACCTCATATCACTGCACTGTGCTCTTACGAATGATACAATACATATCATTAATGCAGATTGTTTGCAGCATATAAAGCCTGGTCAGTTGTTTCAAAGTTGGTCATGATGATTTCTTGAAACTTGATATATACTGTATTTCTCATGAGGGCATACTTCTCTAAAGGGGCATTTCTTGTAAATACTGGGAGCAGCCAGCTGCTGGATGATTGTGCTGTGAAGCAACTTTTGATTGACGGCACACTCGCAGGCTGTGCTCTGGATGGTGCTGAAGGGCCGCAATGGATGGAAGCATGGGTATGATGATTATAGATTTAGGGTATGGGTATGAATTGAGAGGTGTATTTCACTAATTAGCCGTTGCTTGTGATGAAGTTGTGTTATGACATGGCTATTTTGCTTGATTGCTTTATATTATGATGTAGCTTCCTCTCTTCTGAAGGTTTCTACTTCATTATCTTAATATGTGTTTTTCCTTCTTTGGTGGTGGGGCTTTTATTTTACCCAAGTATTCAATTTAATTGGTATTGGGTGAGACAAAGTCCTTTCACTTTTCTGGTAGGCTTTAAGAGACTTCTGGGCACATGAATACTTTCTCTGTCCTTGTGCCATAAATTGTGAAATTCCATGGGATTCAGTCTAGGGCCTGAATAATTTGTGCTGCAGGCCATTGAGCTATCTGTGAAGTTTAATATGTAACATGAAACTGATATCTCCTCTAGGAAAGCTCCATTCTAATTTTGCATTGTGGACTTTAATTGTATGTAGTCCTATCTGCTGCGAGCAAGTCATACCTCTTCTCTGTTTAACAAACCTATCTCTCCTAGTAGCTATTTGCTAACATTTGGGGCCAATTTAGATGATGGCTGATCAGAAAGTAAGTATGCACATGGATATAAAGTGAGATTTTGATAGCTTGTTAGTGAGATCAAGTATCCTTGCTGGATCATTTGTTCGTCTTGGAGGATATTTTTACATGTCCACTGCTGATTATGCTTATTTAACTATTATTTTGCTTGCTTGAAACTTAGCATATCTGCTTTTTCCTAAAGAATTTTGGGAACAACCTCTGAACTTTGAAAAACTAAAGATGATATACAATAGTAGTATAGTACTTCAGTCATTGTCCTGGCATTGCATGCTTTATATTGTATGCATATTCGTGTCAGTCTAAGATTGTGAAATACTTAAGTCGATTTTGCAAGAGTAATATTTAATTGTCCAGCATATATCAACTATCAATATCAATGAAACAGAAGGATATTGTAGATTCCGGGACTATATAAAATCCTTTCTGCCCCAACTAAAATTTTGAACACTTTGACCTGATATCAGCTTCGCGAGATGCCCAATGTATTAATACTTCCACGGAGTGCGGACTACAGTGAAGAAGTATGGACCGAGATACGGGAGAAGGCGATTTCCATACTACAGCAGTTTTTCATTGATAATATCATCCCCAAGGATGCTGTGTCTGACGAAGAAGAGGAGGTGGAACAAGAGGCCGGGAGCGAGAATAATCATGGCCACACACTGGCCCGTGAAACTTCATTCCAAGATTCAGTTGTTGATAGGCTGAATGAAGAAATTCAGCCAGCAGCCGAATGCTCTCAGAAGAAGCTCTTAAACCAGTCAAAGGGAAATTCGTCCCACAATCAAGACTCTGTTTTGTTACAAAGCACATCAAACAGATCTGAAACAAAGCGGAGCAGGTCGAGTAAGAAGGCAAAAAGAAGGCACGGCCGCCAAAAATCCCAGAATAAAGTGGACGCTTTTGAAAAAGGGAGCACTTCATACAGAGAGGAAGATGGGTCTCTGAGTGGCACAGATCAAGTGTTGAGTTCAAGTTCGCGTTTTGCGTCCCCCGAAGATTTAAGGATCCGCAAAACGCCTGTTGAGTCGAGCATCGAAAGTAGCAAGAAATCGGTTGAGGTCCTGAAGGATGGACATATTGTGGTTTTACTTGCAAGAGACGGTCCTACCCTACATGTATCAAAGCAGAGAGTTAAGGGAGGCGGCTGGTTCCTTGACACGGTGTCAAATGTTTCGAAAAGAGATCCTGCAGCGCAGTTCCTTGTTGTGTTTAGAAACAAGGTGTGGACAAGAATTTAAAGTTGTTTTGTTTGTCTTCTTTATTACGTTACACAACTTCTATTGACTTGTGATGCTACTGTAGCAAAATAACAGTTGGAATATGTAAGAGAGCTAATCCGAGGGTGATGATTGTTTAAGGGATGAAATTAAAACAGCTGACCGATTTATCGTTGCTGTATTTTGCAGGATACTGTTGGTTTTAGATCGTTTACTGCTGGAGGAAAGTTATTACAGGTACTTCTTGCAATCAAGTTTTGATATGTTTGTGTAGCTAATTGTTCTCTTTTGGCTTGTAAGTTGTTGACATGGGCCGTGGATTGTTTTGGATGGATGAATATTTGACGTATTTGATTCGTCATAACGAAGTTCGATTGATGAAAAAGTTGTTTCATTATGGCTTGTTTACGGAGTCTATATAGCTGTTGTGAGAATTCATATTAAATGTTTTGGCAGTATTTACCACTTCTTTTGTCTAAAGATATTATTCGACATTACAGATAAATAGGAGGATGGAATTTGTATTTGCTAGTCATAGTTTTGATGTTTGGGAGAGTTGGACAGTTGAAGGTTCGTTGGACGAATGCAGGCTGGTGAACTGCAGAAATCCTCTAGTAAGTTCATTCTCTATCCTGTGCAGTAAATTTTGGTTTTTAACTTTTTGGTAAATAGAGACTAGATCCCTGAATTAGTGATGGAGCCATAATGGTGATGATAATGTTTGCTTACGTTTCTGCAATTAGTAATATCGGAGTTTGCCAATAATGGATCAGAATTTACGAATAATGGAACTCCAATGGGGTTGGTCAATTATGACCATAACATATGCAATTTTCATCTAGTAGTGAATAATCCAGCTTGTGTAAAATTAATTTTAAAATTTAGCTCTCTTTTTCTTTCTTCTTTCCTTTTCTTTTAGTTAAAACTGCTCCAGTCTTCATTTCTCATAGCACTATAATTAAATTAGTATCATTAGAAGTGTTTTTCATATACTTTTGATTGCTTCTGGAGACTTAAGAAAAGGGTAAAGTACACTAATCATCCTTGCTATTCTGTCCAACTAAAAAAAAAAAAAAATGTAAAAAAGAAAGGCTGATTTTCAGTAGTATATAAAGCTCTCTGATATTTGTTTCCATTTTACAAACTGACCCCTCTACAAGTCAATCTCTTAAGAAAGATTCAATTTCTAGTGGTGTTTGTAATGCCTCGAGGGGTTGTTAATAATTTTAAAACATGAATGTCTTTCCCATAATATACAAAATCTACGATTAATAAACTAATAATATACAATTTTTACACCTATAGATTATAGAACTTTCTCATTAGTCATTTATGTTCAACCTCCGATCTCTAATCTGCAGGCGGCGCTGGATGTACGCATTGAAATCGTTGCAGCTCTAGGCGAAGATGGTGTTACTCGTTGGCTTGATTAGTCAGCTA